AAGATCTAAATGTAAGACCAGAAACTATAAAACTCCTAGAGGAGAACATAGGCAAAACACTCTCCGACATAAATCACAGCAGGATCCTCTATGACCCACATCCCAGAATTTTAGAAATAAAAGCAAAAATAAACAAATGGGACCTAATGAAACTTAAAAGCTTTTGCACAACAAAGGAAACTATAAGCAAGGTGAAAAGACAGCCCTCAGATTGGGAGAAAATAATAGCAACAGACAAAGGATTAATCTCAAAAATATACAAGCAACTCCTCCAGCTCAACTCCAGAAAAATAAATGACCCAATCAAAAAATGGGCCAAAGAACTGAACAGACATTTCTCCAAGGAAGACATACAGATGGCTAACAAACACATGAAAAGATGCTCAACATCACTCATTATCAGAGAAATGCAAATCAAAACCACAATGAGGTACCATTACACACCAGTCAGGATGGCTGCTATCCAAAAGTCTACAAGCAATAAATGCTGGAGAGGGTGTGGAGAAAAGGGAACCCTCTTACACTGTTGGTGGGAATGCAAATTAGTACAGCCACTATGGAAAACAGTGTGGAGATTTCTTAAAAAGCTGGAAATAGAACTGCCATATGACCCAGCAATCCCACTTCTGGGCATACACACTGAGGAAACCAGATCTGAAAGAGACACGTGTACCCCAATGTTCATCGCAGCACTGTTTATAATAGCCAGGACATGGAAGCAACCTAGATGCCCATCAGCAGACGAATGGATGAGGAAGCTGTGGTACATATACACCATGGAATATTACTCAGCCATTAAAAAGAATTCATTTGAATCAGTTCTAATGAGATGGATGAAACTGGAGCCCATTATACAGAGCGAAGTAAGCCAGAAAGATAAAGACCATTACAGTATACTAACACATATATATGGAATTTAGAAAGATGGTAACGATAACCCTATGTGCAAAACAGAAAAAGAGACTCCTATGTATAGAACAGACTTGTGGACTCTGGGAGAAGGCGAGGGTGGGATGTTTCAAGAGAACAGCATTGAAACACGTATATTATCTAGGGTGAAACAGTTCACCAGCCCAGGTTGGGTGCATGAGACAAGTGCTCGGGCCTGGTGCACTGGGAAGACCCAGAGGGATTGGGTGGAGAGGGAGGTGGGAGGGGGGACCGGGATGGGGAATACATGTAAAAAAAAAAAAAAAAAAAGATACACTATGGTTGTGATAAAAAAAAAAAAAAAAAGAATCAATTCTTTGGCACTTAGCTTTCTTTATAGTCCAACTCTCATCCATACATGACTACTGGAAAAACCATAGCTTTGACTAGATGGACCTTTGTTGGCAAAGTAATGTCTCTGCTTTTTAATATGCTGTCTAGGTTGGTCATAACTTTTCTTCCAAGGAGCAAGTGTCTTTTAATTTCATGCCTGCAGTCACCCTCTGCAGTGATTTTGGAGCCCAAAAAATAAAGTCTCACTGTTTCCATTGCTTCCCCATCTATTTCCCATGAAGTGATGGGACCAGATGCCGTGATCATAGTTTTCTGAATGTTGAGTTTTAAGCCAACTTTGTCACTCTCCTCTTTCACTTTCATCAAGAGGCTCTTTAGCTCTTCTTCACTTTTTGCCATAAGGGTAGTATCATCTGCATATCTGGGGTTATTGATATTTCTCCCAGCAATCTTGATTCCAGCTTGTGCTTCATCCAGTCCAGCATTTCTCATGATGCATATAAGTTAAATGAGCAGGGTGACATATACAGCCATGACGTATTCCTCTCCCAATTTGGAAGCAGTCTGTTGTTCCATGTCCAGTTCTAACTGTTGCTTCTTGACCTGCATACAGATTTCTCAGGAGGCAGGTCTTGGAGGGCACAAACAAAACCTTGTTTGCACCAGGACCCAGGAGAGAGGATCAGTGACCCCACAAGAGACTGACCCAGACTTGCCCCTGAGTATCCAGAAGTCTCTGGCAGAGGTGTGGGTACAGCAGTGCATGCATGGGACCTTTTGAAGGAAGTGGCCATTATCTTCATAACTTCCACCATAGTTTGGCCTCAGGTCAAATATTAGGGAGGGAAAACAACCCTGCCCATCAACAGAAAATGGGATTAAAGATTCACTGAGAATGGCACCTCCCCCCGCCCCCGCAACAGAGAAACACCCAAGTTCCCCCTCAGTCAATCTCTCCCATCAGGAAGCTTCCATAAGCCTTTTATCCTTCTCCGTCAGAGGGCAGACAGAATGAAAACCACAATCACAGAAAACTAACCAATCTGATCACATGGACCACAGCCTTGTCCAACTCAAGGAAACTATGAGCCATGCCGTGTAGGGCTACCCAAGACGGACAGGTCATGGTGTAGAGTTCTGACAAAACGTGGTCAACTGGAGAAGGGAATGGCAAACCACTTCAGGATTCTTGCCTTGAGAACCCCATGAACAGTATGAAAAGGCAAAAAGACAGGACACTGAAAGATACACTCCTCAGGTCAGTAGGTGCCCAACATGCTACTGGAGAGCAGTGGAGAAATAACTCCAAAAAGAATGAAAAGACGGAGCCAAAGCAAAAACAACAACCAGTTGTGGATGTGACTGGTGATGGAAGTAAAGTCTGATGCTGTAAAAGCAATACTACATAGGAACCTGGGATGTTAGGTCCATGAATCAAGGCAAATTGGAAGTGGTCAAACAGGAGATGGCTAGAGTGAACATCAAAATTTTAGGAATCAGAAAACTAAAATGGACTGGAATGGTGAATTTAACTCAGATGACCATTATATCTACTACTGTGGGCAAGAATCCTTAGAAGAAATGGAGGAGCCATCATAGTCAACAAGAGAGTCTGAAATGCAGTACTTGGATGCAATCTCAAAAACGACAGAATGATCTCTGTTTCCAAGGCAAACCATTCAGTATCACGGTAATCCAAGTCTATGCCCTGACCAGTAATGGTGAAAAAACTGAAGTTGAGCAGTTCCATGAAGACCTATAAGACCTTTTAGAACTAACCCCTGCAAAAAGATGTCCTTTTCATTATAGGGGACTGGAATGTAAAAGTAGGAAGTCAAGAAACACCTGGAGTAACAGGCAAATTTGGCCTTTGAATACAGAATGAAGCAGGGCAAAGGCTAATAGAGTTTTGCCAAGAGAACACACTGGTCATAGCAAACACCCTCTTCCAACAACACAAGAGAAGACTCTACACATGGACATCACCAGATGGTCAATACAAAAATCAGATTGATTATATTCTTTGCAGCAAAGATGGAAAAGCTCTATACAGCCAGCAAAAACAAGACTGGGAGCTGACTGTGGCTCAGATCATGATCTCCTTATTGCCAAATTCAGACTTAAATTGAAGAAAGTAGGGAAAACCACTAGACCATTCAGGTACGACCTAAATCAAATCCCTTACAGTGGAAGTCAAATAGATTCAAGGAATTTTAGATCTGATAGACAGAATGTCTGAAGAACTATTGACGGTGGTTTGTGACACTGTACAGGAGGCAGGGATAAGACCATCCCCAAGAAAATGAAAAGCAAAAAGGCAAAATGGTTGTCTGAGGAGGCCTTAGCTGTGAATAGAAGAGAAGCGAAAAGCAAAGAAGAAAAGGAAAGATATACCCATTTGAACGCAGAGTTCCAAAGAATAGCAAGGAGAGATAAGAAAGCCTTCCTCAGTGATCAGTGCAAAGAAACAGAGGAAACAATAGAATGGGAAAGACTAGAGATCTCTTCAAGAAAATTAGAGATACCAAAGGAACATTTCATGCAAAGGTGGGCACAATAAAGGACAGAAATGCTATGGACCTAACAGAAGAAGAAGATATTAAGAAGAGGTGGCAAGAATACCCAGAAGAACAACACAAAAAAGATCTTTATGACCCAAATAATCATGATGGTGTGATCACTTACCTAGAGCCAGACATTCTGGAATATGAAGTCAAGTGGGCCTTAGGAAGCATCATGATGAACAAAGCTAGTGGAGGTGATGGAATTCCAGTTGAGCTATTTCAAATCCTAAGAGATGATGCTGTGAAAGTGCTGCACTCAATATGCCAGCAAATGTGGAAAATTCAGCAGTGGCCACAGGACTGGAAAAGTCCAATTTTCTTTCCAATCCCAAAGAAAGGCAAGGCCAAAGAACGCTCAAACTGCTGCACAATTGCACTCATCTCACACACTAGCAGAGTAATGTCAAAATTCTCCAAGCCAGGCTTCAGGAATATGTGAACTGTGAACTTCCAGATGTTCAAGCTGGATTTAGAAAAGCCAGAGGAACCAGAGATCAAATTGCCAACAATCGCTGGATTATTGATAAAGCAAGAGAGTTCCAGAAAAACATCTATTTCTGCTTTATTGACTATGCCAAAGCCTTTGACTGTGTGGATCACAACAAACTATGGAGATAACACAATGCAGCATAGAAAACAGTGGCCTGGAAAGCAGTGGTCTGGCTTCCTATCTTTTGTGACCTTACCAAGTCATTTAAACTTCCCTGCCTCAGTTTCTCCTTTATACAAGGATAACCTTAAACTAGACAATCTGAAATCTCCCCAATTTATGCTTTCATTTTGCTTATGGGTGAATTTTCAGATTCAAAGTAAGCTCTTTTTATACTTAAAACACAAAGTGTTACACTTTTCATCTGAAAGTAGTTATTAAAAAAATCTTTAATAACCTGTGATATTTGTAACAAAAAAGTTTCACCCTGTATGCGCACATGATATTCCAAATTTGATTTCAGTTAACAGTTTTGTTAAAAGCAGTTTTCCAACTATACCCCTATAGGTCATACACATAATTTTTCTATTTTCCACCTCCCTGTTGAAACTATCGTTAAAACAAGAAAACTGCAACACACAAGAAAGACGTCCTTCAATACTAGAATTTCCAGTCATTTGAGATTACAGAGGTACAAAAATGTCTGGAACACACACTGTTTTTGTTACCGAAATTTCAGTGTGACGCTTCCAAATGTGGCCCAGGTTAGGGACTGAGCTTACCTTCTCTTGAAGAAAGGGAACCCACATGCAGTCCACCAGTTCCTGGCGATACTGGTGTGTAAAGGATCCAACATAAGACACATATGCTGCCGTAAGGAGAACATCTCCACAGAGTGTCTTCTCTTGAGCTTCGAAGGATTTAATAGACTGGCCCCAGCGAATCTTCTCTGACTGAAATATATGATGATTCTGATGTAACTGCAAAGTGAGGAGCAACTCAAGAAGCATTTAGTGTAATTACTTTATACCTCGGTTTAAGTCTAGGTCACCCTGCACAGCCTTGATAAGGAACAGAACATGACTGGGTGGTGTAACTACGCTGCCCATTCATTCATGTGAACCCATTATTATGAAGGCACTCTCGTTCTCTCGTCAGTGAAGTTTATGGTAATACAACATTAGATCTTTAACATCTCCTTTTTGTTGGATGCCCTAACTCTTCAGTTAGGCTTGAGGTTCTTCTTAAAAGGCTGATGGTCACTCTCTTGTCCCTCTTTGAGTACAGGACCAAGAGCTGTGGCCAAGCCTAAGTGATGTTAGGATTTTTATGGCAGCTTGGCTGTTCACCACCATTTTTGCTTTTCAGCAATGGTACTATACCTCCCTCAGCAAACAGCATCTTAAACATACCAGCCATGGGTGGATTATAGAAAAAGGAAAGTGAAAAACACCAGCTATGTTCATTATTTAAAATATAAAGCTTAAAAGAGCCATCTTACTAGAATTCTATTAATTAAAGAACAGTGCTGGTAGTTACTAAATGTGGGTTATTTCTGCAATATAATTACTCAATCAGTGGAAGAGCTTACAGCCCATGTAAAAAGATGGAAACCAGAAGGATGTCACTAGCTTTGAAGACAGTATGCTCAAAGGATGCTGTTCAACTCCTTCTATCTACATGACTAGACATTTAAAATCTGATTTCCAGGTTAAGTATGTAGAGCCCTTAATATTGGATTTGAATAAAACTGTAATAAATATCTATGGATTGACTGAACTGCAGGACACTTCACTAATTCATTTGGTTTCAATGCATGCTAAAATTTAATACCACATTCTAAGAATATGTAAATTAATAGGAACTGGAGAAATAAAACCAGCAAAATGTTGGTAAAAACAATGAAGAACCCTGTGGAAGAATTCAGCTTTTTTCATGAAAGAGGGGAGACCACAGAATGCAAATATAATTTATGTCAGAGCAAATTGCAATACTAGCTCCCTGCAAGCCATCACAATACCCTCAGCACTGAGGTAATGAAACTAGCAGGTGACAATGGTTATGAAATCTATTTTAAGATAGTCTGCTTTGCTCGATAAAGATCACTCCAAGTTAGCTCTATAATTAAACACTAGGCAACTTCAACTCCCTTGCCTTCTTTATAGAATTCATTAATTTCCTTCCTCAGCTATAGATAATATATCCATTAATTTTGAAGAAGAATCTCTCATTTGCCTTCCCTCTAACTTTGTTGTCTTTGGTTAGTAAATGATAAACAATAAAGGGCACCCACCTCATTCTCCAAAACAGCTTTGAAACTTGAAGATTTACTAAACGCAGACTTATCGGCGATTGAAATCGTCAATAATTTCACTATACCACCCACGCAACATAAATCATTACTGACACTGGCTAACAAGGGTTTAAGAATTGGAACATGTCCTGTAATAAATTTCTAGACAGTTAAAAATCACTATAATTTTATTCTAATGCATTATAGATTGCCTGTAATGTCATCCTGGCTGGGGTGACCCATTTCTAATTTTGAACAGCTGTTAGCTCTGGAGTTAGTTAATGATTAAATATAAATTGCCTGATTTATTAGTCTGAATGGTTGAGACCATAGCTTCCAGGTCAATGCTATATAGACAAAATCATCAGTCTTGGTGTTTTTCAGAAGTTAACTGTCTCCTGTTCTAGTCAGAAAGAATTTATCCTCAAAGGAAAAGGCCTGACATCTTCAATTAATCTTTAAAAAATATATGTATATACATACTTATATGTATTTTTTGTTAGTTAACATTATTCAGCCATTTTTCCTCTCCTTTTCTAAATCATAATCTAAATCATCACGAATAAATAAAGCCTTTGGAAGACATTGCTGTCTGCTAGAGATACAAGGTAGCAAGATACAAGATACAAGGCCTGTTTTTCCCTTGATAAAACTTTCAGACATTTTCTACCTCAAGTAAGTCTAATTAAATGGCACTTCCTCTTTTCCATAGGTCCTTATAAATGGTAAATCCTTCACACTGCCTAAATCTTATCACTTCAGATGGAAGCAGGTATAAACTCTACTAGGAGCTTGCATAATTTCTCAACAGATCTAAGAAAAATGAATCTTCAAAGGGCTCCAGAATTTCTTTTCAACACAGGAGTTCTTCCCAAACTCACCCATTCATTCATTCAACAAATATCTATTGGTGCCTCCAGGGACTACTCTATATGTTTGGGATCAAGCAGTGCAGGAAACAAATGAAGTTTCCTTCTTTTGAGAGCTCATAGCCTAGTTAGGGGGAAAAGACTGCAAAAAAAGTACATATATTCATGCATGTATACCTGTGAGTATGTCATATGATGATACAGACTATGAAAAAATTGTAAAGCAGAGGAAACAAAAACATCTATAGAGTGCTATGGCTGATTCTTGATGTTTGACAGAAAACCACAAAATTCTGTAAAGCAACTATCCTTCAATTAAAAAAATAAAGTGGCGAAAAAAAAGATCTATGGAGTGGTGTGTGCATGCGTGTATTCGTGTGTGTGTGTGTATGTGTATAAGGGGCAAGGCGCATGCTTTTTAACAAAGGGAGGTCAGAGAAAACCATGTAATAAGGAGAACTTCTGGCAGATACCTGAAGGAAGTATGGGACCCAGTAATATCAATGCCTGGAAAAGTGTCAGCCACATGGAGGAAAAAGGCAAAGGCCATGGGGTAGGAGAGTGACTGGCAGGGTGAGGAAGAGTGAGCTGCCTGGTGAGGGTGGAGCAGGGCAGAAGGTGGCAGAATGGAGGACAGAGGTATCCAGGACCCAGGTCATGGAGGGGTCCTGCAGGCCTGGCAAAACCGCTGGGCCGTATTTTGAGTGAGACAAGTAGTTATTGGAGAATTCTGAGAGAGCGGTAACATGAGTGGACTTAGTTTTTCTAACAACACCACTCAGTGGCTCTAAGGGGTGTGGACCTTGAGGATAGTGGTGGAGGCTAGGGCGATGCTCCAGCGGGGAGAAGCTGGAGGCCTGGACCAGCGTGGAGAGGTGAAGCTGCTGAAGAGTGCTGGGATTCTGAATGGACTCTGAAGGGAGAGATAGGACGGTATGCTGCTAGACTGAATATGGGTGTGAGGAAGAAAGCAGTAAGTCAAGAGCTTTAGGCCATAACAACTAGAAGAAAAGACCAGCAGTTATTGAGACTGAACAGAGAGAGTGGATCTAGCAGAACAAAGAGTGAGTTTGCATATAATAAACTATGAGTTTCAGAGGGATAATGGGTTTAAATTTGTATTAAATTTAAATTAGATTGTTAAAAGTCTACTTATAAGAAATCAGGCCAGCCTCAGCCATCCTAACTTACATTTCTCCCTCCTTTCTTGGTGAGAGAACTCTGATTCTGAAAAGACTGTTACTGTGTCCAGTACCCTGTGATGAACTGGCTAAGTCAATTATGATCACCCCATTTCCCACGTTCCCTGCCTTCTTTGCATCTATCTGTGGTCACTCTGGTTCTGGCTAAACAAACAAGTGCTTTAGGTAAGTCTGCTTAAGGGGATGCCTTAAGCAGAAAACTTGTTTTTGTTATAAAAGGAGAAAAACCTAGCTGCTACAGATTCTTTTCTCCTGCCTGAACCTAAAGGAGTAGCATCCATCTGGCACATGGCTGTAAAATGTATGAGGGTGAACAGACATGTGCTCTGACAGCAGCAGAAGGCAGCAGACAAGTCAGGGGTCTGATCACTCATTCCCTGAAACGACACTGATAATGGCCTACCTCTGCAATTTTTTTTTTAATGTGTGAAAAATAAACTCCCTTTTGTTTAAGCCACTGTGAAACAACTTTTCTATCACCTTCAGCTAAATGCATGTCTAGTAGTGCAATTCTATATTTTTAGGTAGCACTTAAAAACAAGAGTTTTGAGATTCACATATCATGAAATTCACCAAGTCTTCAGTTGAGTGAGTTTTAATATATTCACAGATACGTGCCATCATCCCCAATAATTTTAGAAGGTTTCTCTCATACAGAAACTCATACCCATCAGCAGGCACTCCCAGGTTCCTGTCCCCTTGTCCAGTATAAATGATTCTTATTCCCCTATTTGTTGTTGAGTCCATTTTTAGTCAGTCATTGTTGAGAGCAAATAAGGATAAAATCTCCAAAAGCTGATTCTTACTAGTTTGGTTAGAATTTTGGAAGAAAAGGTTAACTCACCTCAAGTTCCCTCACAAGTCTGTTGGCTAGTTCAATAGTTTTGTTGGTTTGGTTCACCTCTTCTTGACAGCGAACTTTCTCAGCTATTGCCTTTTCAAACGAATCTGTGAGTCTGCTCAGATTTCGATCCAAATCCTTAAGAAAAAGTCGAAATTAACTTCTGAGCCATTTTTAGGTAAAATGCAAACATTACAATCATCTTAAAACACCTGTTACCTTAAGGTAAATGAAACAAACTTCCTTCCCTCCTTTGCCCCTTGAGCACACATATGTTTTGGGAGAAGATGAGAGGTTGGTGATAATAAATGCATCAGGGCAACCATGCAGTCTTCCTCTCTTCCTTCCACACTGGGCAGAGTGCAGACAGCTACCTGGGCAAGTGGACATGCCCTGCTGACTCAAATACACTCTTGAGCGTCCAGCCCCCTCACTCACGCCTAAGCCTCAGCTTCTCTATATTAATGATGAATGTCATACTTTCTGTTCTCTCTGCTGACTTCTCTTTCCACTTCTCGTGGTCCATAATTCAGGCAATGAAGAGGAGTGTTAATTATTGAGCTCTTTTAGATCTCAACACCCTGGCCTGGCTGGCCAACCAAATTTTCTCTTCTGGAAACTTGGGATTGCAAGGCTGAGGTATGTCACTGTCTTCAGCATTATAAGATCTGGGAAGATGTGCATATATGGGAGGGCTTCATTTAGAGAGGGACCATCTTTCACCAGGGGCACAGGAAAACAGGAGAAACCAGTCCAGAGAAAGAAGGAAAAGGTAGCAAGGGGAGAAGTCACATGGCCCTAAACACATTCTTGACAGCTTCCCACTTCCTGGATCTTGTTCCTCCAGAGACCAAGTCACACAGTTATTTTTTTCCTCAGAGTGCCATGAGTATTCCTGGTCTCCATTTTGGCTTAAGGTTTCCTAAGTAGGTTTCTATTTGTACAGCTAAAGGAGCCTTGACTAAGGGAGAAAATAGTTGGGAGACTCCTTATTATAGCATCTTGCTACCTGCAAGTTCTAACAATCCTAAATGAGATTTTTAACACTGTGCTTATAAGTATGTGCAAAATTCCAAGAGACTTTAATAATCAAATTTGTAGAACATACCCTATTTATAGAGACTGTCAATATTTGTCTATAACTCAATTATATTATCATTTAAATTTATATCATATAATATATATAAAGAAGTAGTACTTCTTTAAAAAAAGTATATGTCATATTTAAGATTTACATATGAAACAATGTCAGATTTGTGAGAAATGGTGGAGATGTGCATCTTCAGTTAGAAATCAGGTCAAAATAAATAATATCTAGAGGTATATTTTATTAAAAATACTTATGGTTTTATAGGGCTTCCCAGGTGGCACAGTGGATTCCCTGATAGCTCAGTTGGTAAAGAATCCCTCTGCAATGCAGGAGACCCTGGTTCGATTCCTAGATCGAGAAGATCCACTGGAGAAGGGATAGGTTACCCACTCCAGTATTCTTGGGCTTCCGTTGTGGCTCAGCTGGTAAAGAATCCAACTGCAATGCGGGAGACCTGGGTTTGATCCCTGGGTTGGGAAGATCCCCTAGAGAAGGGAAAAGCTACCCACTCAAGTATTCTGGCCTAGAGAATTCTATGGACTGTATAGTCCATGGGGTCGCAAAGAGTCTGACACAACTGAGCAACTTTCACTTTCAGGTGGCACTGTGGTAAAGAACCCTCCTGTCAATGCAGGAGACACAAGAGGTGCAGGTCCAATCTCTGGGTCAGGTAGATCCCCTGGAGCAGGAAATGGTAACCCACTCTAGTATTCTTGCCAGTAAAATCCTATGGACAGAGGAGGCTGGCAGGCTACATTCCATGGGGTTACAAGAGTTGGACATGACTGAGTGTGTGAACATAAATACAAACACACACACACAGTACATGGTTTTATAAAATACAGAAGCTGATCTTAGCTCTGGTATCAGACACCTGAGTTCATGTCTGGATTCTGCTATCAGCTAAGCAGCCTCAAGGTGGACTGTGCACTTAAGCTCTCTATGCCTCAGTTTCATTAGCTGGACACAAATGAAGCAACTTAGCATGCATGCATGCATCATCTGAAAAGTGAAATAATGTCACCCATTTCATAGGGTTGACCTAGGTATATACAGACCTAACAGAAGCAGAAGAGACTAAGAAGAGATGGCAGAAATACACAGAAGAACTATACAAAAAAGGTCTTAATGACCCAGATAACCATGATGGTGTGGTCACTCACCTAGAGCTGGACATCCTGGCGTGCAAAGCCAAGTGGGCCTTAAGAAGCATTACTACAAACAAAGCTAATGGAGTTCATGCAATTTCAGCTGGGCTATTTAAAACCCTAAAAGATGCTGCTGTTAATTTGGGAAATTCAGCAGAGGCCACAGGTCTGGAAAAGGTCAGTTTTCATTCCGAGCCCAAAGAAGGTCAATGCCAAAGAATGTTCAAACGACTGCACAATTGCACTCATTTCACATGTTGGCAAGGTAATGCTGAAAATCCTTCAAACTAGGCTTCAATAGTTACGTGAACCAAGAACTTTCAGATGTATAAGTTGGATTTAGAAAAGGCAGAGAAACCAGAGATCAAATTGCCAACATCCATTGGATTACAGAAAAAGCAAGGGAATTCCAGAACAACATCTACTTCTGCTTCATTGACTATGCTAAAGCCTTAGACTGTGTAGATCACAACAAACTGTGGGAAATTCTTAAAGAGATGGGAATACCAGACTACCTAACCTGCCTCCTGAGAAACTTCTATGCAGGTCAAGAAGCAACTGAATGAGTAACAACGGACTGGTTCAAAATTGGGAAAGGAGTGCGTCAAGGCTGTATATTGTCATTCTCATTCTTTAATGTAAATGCAGAGTACATCATGCAAAATGCTGGGGTGGATGAAGCACAAGCTGGAATCAAGACTGCCAGGAGAAATATCAGTAACCTCAGATATGCAGATGACACCACACTTATAGCAGAAAGTGAATAGGAACTAAAGAGCCTCCTGATGAAAGTGAAAGAGAAGAGTGAAAAAGTTGGCTTAAAACTCTGCATTCAAGAAACTAAGATCATGGCATCCAGTGCCATCACTTCATGGCAAATAGAAGGGAAAACCATGGAAACAGTGATAGACATTATTTTCCTGGGCTCCAAAATCACCGTGGATGGTGACTGCAGCCATGAAATTAAAAGATGCTTGCTCCTTGGAAGAAAAGCTATGACAAACCTAGACACCCTAATAAAAAGCAGAGATTTTACGTTGCTGACGAAGTCAAAACTATGGTTTGTAGTCAAAGCTATGGTTTCTCCAGTAGTCATGTATGGATGTGAGAGTTGGACCATAAAGAAGGCTGAGCACTGAAGAATTGGTGCTTTCAAACTGTGGTGCTGAAGAAGACTCTTGAGAGTCCCGTGGACTGCGAGGAGATCAAACCAGTCAATCCTAAACAAAAACCCTGAATATTCATTGGAAGGACTGATGCTGAAGCTCTAATACTTTGCCACCTGATGGAAAGAGCTGACTCATTAGAAAAGACTCTGAAGCCGAGAAAGATTGAGGGCAGTTGGAGCAGGGGGCAACAGAGGCAACGAGCTGGTTGGACGGCATCACTGACTCAACAGACGTGAGTTTAAACGAACTCCAGGATACAGTGAAGGATAGGGAAGCCTGGTGTGCTGCAGTCCATGGGGTCACAGAGCCAGACAGGACTGAGCGACTCATCAACAATAATTCACATACCTAAAGTATAAGCTGATATACCGTTTCCTTCTGTAAAGCTGGGTTGGGGACTGGGTATTGGGAGACCATGGGCTCCTGCACTTGTTTCTCTGCCTCTCATGAGGAGGTACTGACAGCTCTTGCTCTGGACTATCTTCCGCAAGGTATCTGCAGAGCAAATAGGCTTCAGAAATAGAGCCAGTGTTTCTCTCAGGGCATAGGACAGAAGTACTCCTGTGCCAGAGTACTGAAGATGTGTTTCTCTGTGGGACAAAAGTTGGGCAGATTTACTCGCAGCTTTCTTTATAGGGGGTGTTTCCTAAGCTTGGGATACCTCAGCTGTGGCACAAACCCACTGTGAACTGCCTCAGCTGACCCACTGTGCATCACGGCCATGGGGACTGGGGGAGCTGAGGCCCACACGAGGCTCACGCTGCTCGCTGTGCTGTGGGTAATGCAGCCCTCTGCTCTCTGACCCACTCAGCCCATATCCTATCATCTTCTGCCCAGCATCTGTGAAACAGCGGTGGGTAACCTGTCAGCCTGTGAGTAGGGTAGAATCTTGGTTGCTTCACAGTTCTGGACAGGCCCTGGCCTCTCAGGTTCTAGAAATAAATGGGAGGTGGGGGAAGGACTTAGTCCGAAGACCCCAGCCCACCAGACACCCTAAAACCAGTGTTCTCCAGCTGAAGTGTGCACCAGAGCCGTCTGGAGGGTTTGATCAAATCCAAAATTCCTGAATTCCCTGCCAGGGTTGCTCATTCAGTGGATCTGAGAGTCTGGATCTCTAATGAGTTCCCAGCTGACACTGATGCTTCTGTGGTTGAGAGTACACACTCTGAGAATCACTACCCTAAAGAGACAAATCTGCACATTTTCATGGTCATCCTTAGATCCTGTATGTTTCAAAGACAAGATGGCCTAAGCAGGTTTGTTTTGTTTTGTTTTTTCCCCCACTCAGCCTTCAATATGAGGCCATCTTTTAGTCTGAAACTAGAGATAAAGACTTTGAAAGAACAAATATACAAAGTCTAATACTAGTTAATGAATGAATTTCCTAAATGATGGTAGACACAGCCCTGCTTTTCTAGGTGAGAAGGCAACAGAAGGCATAGATAAGGAGGAGGGAAAGGCCATGAGAGAGAAGGAAACAGAGGCTGAAGGAGATGAAAGCAAAGCTAGCAAAAATTATCATGACACCTGGGCTCAAACCTTGACTTGACTCTGTACCAACAGACAGAAACTATGCAGAGTTTGACTTTGACTGTGGCCTGACCAGTCTTCACAGCAAATTGTTTTTTACTTCAAATTTCCAACAAAGGACATTCTCCCGTACAACCACCATATAACCATAATTCACCTCCTCAGAGACCCACAGTAGGATTTCCTCCAAGATGGGAGCATGCTCCTTCAGGTCTCCCCTCAATTCTTTCTGCTCCTGGAGACCACCTCTAGCCAAATTAAGCTAAAGAGAATCTCCTGAAAATGGGAGAGCTCTTTCAATGAAAGGAAAGGCACAGAATCACACACAGGCTCCTAGGAGCTCCAGAAAGACTTGGGGGCAGGAACAAAATACTTGAGAGCTTCCTCTGGACACTGTACTACCATACATGAACTTTATTTTCAGTCTCATTCTCTGGCTACTGATTTGATTCTAGAGATTGGGGGAGTCAAACTAGCAAAGCTTGGATCACATAACCAGGCTTCAGCTAGGACAGAAAAAGGCAGCCCTGATCGAAGTCCTACCTGAGTGTATCCAATGGGGAAAGGTAATTCTCCAAAGATAAACCAGTCTGTTGCCACCCAAAGAAGGTAGATTGGATGCTGGTAGCCAAAATACATCACAGATGCCCCCACTGAGAGTTAGCTGTCACTCATGAAGTGACAGTTGAGAAACTGAAGCTCTGAGGATTTCCCTAGGTGGCCAGGGTTGCCCAGCCTTGTCACTCTGACTGTACCACTCCATGTTACCATGTCAGGCACCTCCAACCCATCATCCCTAGTCTGTATGTGCCCTCCCCGCACCATGTCAGCGGCAGCCTTGACCCCATGGACTTGTCAAGTCTGCCAAGTGCTCCTTCTTGTGTCCACCGTAGCTGTCCCTGCCTTAGCTGAGGCCCTCAGGGGACCCACAGTGGCACTTCTAACTTGTCTTCCTGCAGCTAGCCTCTTCTCTTCCTCCAGCTTCCACTCAGTTGATGAAAAGTGACCATGCCATTAACCTATTAAAATCTTTCAAAGGCTCAATACCAAGGTCAGAGAAGATTTAAATTCTGCAGCTCAACTTTTGCAACTTCATCTTTCATTCCTCCTTACTATTCCTAACCATCCCCCAGACACTCATGTTAGGGTTCTGGCCTACTAGGACTCATGAAGTCTACCAACTGCTTCTTCCCTCTTTTCTTCACTTTTTTTTTTTTATCACAAACACCTTTCCTGATCTTGTTATCCTTGGTGACTCACAAGTAATTTTTGCAGTTCATATCAAATACACCTTCATTATGAAACTTTCCCTAATTTCTCTAGGCTCTTTTTTGGCGCTCCTATTGCAATCTGGATATAGTCACACATATACTTGTAGCACCAAACGACAATCATCTGTTATGTACTTGTAGAGATAGTCAAGGTGATAATATTTGCAGTTAGCATTTTCTAATCACATACTATATGCCAAGCACTGTGCTAAATTCTCATTATGAATTACTCTCATTTTATCTTAATGATCTACCTAAGAAGTAAATGCTATTACAGTAGCAATTTCTCAGATGAGAAAAAAGAGGCTCAGAGAGGTTAACTAACATGTGCTGGGTGAAACAGTAAATAGTGGAGTCTGGATGTAAACCCAGACACTTTGGTTCCAGAATCCTTGCTTTAAATCCTTGAACGCTATCCTCTTTCTACTGCCAGACCATGAACGTTTCTTAAGTGCAGAAATCATGAAAGTCCCCTTTTCCAGCTCGGTGTCCAGCATCCAGCAGACAAGGAATGTCTACTGAAGAAGAATATAAATGAATATACTCATGAAAGGTCCAATTCCTTCCTGAGCGGTAGGTCTCAGAGACGGCCCTGTCTGAAGGTGGGATCCTAAGGGTAGGGGCGGGGTTCCACCACTTAGGAACTTCTTCTGTGTTGGAGCCTGTACTTACCGCTAGCTTTTTCCTGATAGCCTCCAATTTCTCAGTAGCTGCAGCCAGTTCTAAGTTTGCTTGGGCTAATGCTTGGCGTTTGGGCTCCACATCACAGTAGACCTGAAAAGCCACATAAGGGTTATTTCACAAGGCAATGAAGATGCAAAGAGGGCAGGTAATCATTCAGTCTTCTATTTCCTGGAAGCTTTACAATTAAAATCTCTAATTCACCTAGAAATTTGGTGTTTACTTTTAGTCATGGTAACACCTAATGGCAGAACAAAAATCCACATAGCCTTCCAAATTTTCTCTGCTTGTCCATTACTCACTCATTTGTTATGGACATTAGAGTGATAAGCACTAGCATAAAATGCTACACAGGCCACATACCATTAAGCTATAAAATTATTTTTTCATAAAATTTGGAGACAACCCTCATTATCACCAGAAATTGTCGAGTACAGCAACTACAGCTAAAGGTGGGATCATGTCTAGCTTTAAAGGCAGAAAATTGGTGTGGAGAAATTCTCTGAACCCAGAAAGAAACATGAGAGATACCCTCACACAGTATAACGTTAACCACACTAACACTTTCTTTTTTTTCTCTAAGTTCTTGGCCAACTTAAAGGTTATCTGAAAGGGTGATTTGAGCATTTGAGTGGATCAAATATTCTGTTGGGAAGGGAGAAAGGAAATTAAATTTTCTTTTCTATTTCATAGCAAAACAACACAGAACACAGCAATGGTGCAGTGCTGGGCTTGTCTTTCCACCGAGGGTGTGAGGCCAGCGCAGCAGTCAGCTGCGCCATTATGGAGCGAGGCCGCCCATCAGCCGTGATCTGCCTGCAGTCTGGCCTGATACAGGTTTCCACTAAAGAGAGACGGACAGGTTCCTATTCCCATGGGTCCCTAGAGGGAAGGACATACCCTAGTTTTCTGAAAATCATTCTGGGAAAGACAGTGGCATTTCCTCAGCAATTCTACCTTTGAATATAACACACAAGACTTAAAGACAGAAATGAGTCAGTTCTTCCTGGCAAAGGGCCATTCATGTTCCCTTTTCACATCCAGTCCTTCACAAAGTATTTGGGACACAACTGACAGACAAGTACTTGATAAATAAATGATTAACTGAAATGATCATCTATCTCTATTTGGCCCAAAAGTACAAACTTTAGAATAGACCGCATACAATCAAAAACACATTTGTCATTAAAATATGAAAGTCCTCCAAAGGTTATTTCTCATCTCATTAAGTCTACTTGTAGCTGGTGTAAATTTCTGCTTTGAGAGCAGGGGTGAAATTTAATTAAACATGAACTCAGATATGCAGTTGTTTCAAGTCAACAACTGAAATAATTCAATATAAATAATTATTCTACCCAAATGTTTTTATCTAATCAAATCAAATTTAATTGCTGCTATTTGATCTAAAGAAGTTACTCTACCCTAAAAAAGCATGGCTTCCAACATTTCAGCTATCCTCCTTTAGAGAATTACGATTAATCTGATGGTTTCATGTCTTATTCTTTGAACTTTATCTTATTCAGATAATTAAATATCAAATTATTTTACATTTTTTGCTAGCCTAGAAATTAATATATATATGACCCTTCCTGAATAACACCCATAAACCATCTGGTCAGGCCTGATACACCTCGTAGAATTTCATGATGTTGATGACCCAGGCGCAGAGGCCAGCTGCTGCAAAAGATTTGGTCCGAATCAGGTTTGGGTTGAACTCGGGGTCTTTCAAATACTGTTCCTTCACCACTTTTAGACAATTCTCTGGAATGTGCTCTTTGTCATAGTTAATTAACGCTTGCAAAAAATCATCCACCTGTAAAGCAAAAAAGACTTATTGCAATGAGCCATTTGTGCTGCAGAGAAAATTCCAAGATCAAAAGTTAAAATCAGCTTTTAGGATTCACATCACAAAGGCAAAATTGGCAAGCTGCATTTATCCCACTGTTTGACTTTTTCAGTCTTTACAGTCTAAAGTTAGAATTAGCAATGGACACTTTTAAAACCCCTTCTATCCCAGGGTAAAATATTCAGTCTTTGCACAGGAGGCATTCACATTTTGAAGAAAAGAAAGGCAGAAAAGAAAAAGAAAAACACATACCCCAAAGCCCCTTCGCTTCACCTTCTTGTACATTAGTAACATTTTCCAACAGAAGAAACCCATGTAATTTTCTCCCTCCTACACTTAACTGCTTTAGTAATTTTGAAAATAATTAGCAACCTTCCAACTGCTGCTGGTGCTGATCTAGGTGTGCTACAACCCCACGCTAATCTCCAACTTGGCAAACAAAAGTTCTAGGTCCAGAGAACGCACAGCAGATGACTCTCAGCAAATATGAAGATGATTTCTTTTTAATAGTTAGGGATTTTATAGCTGCTTCTTTCTCCTCAAACTGTATGTACTCTAAGAAATTTATTTTACTGAAGTATAGTTGATTCAAATGTTGGGTTAATTTCTGATGTAGAGCACAGAGATTCAATTATACATATATAGAGAATATATATATACACACAGACATACACATTCTTTTCATATGGTCCATCAGAGGATATTGAATATAGTTCCCTGTGCTATACAACAGGACCCTACTGTTTATCCATTCTGCATAAAATAGTTTGCATCTGCTAATCCCAAATTCCCAGTCCATTCCTCCCCAGTCCCTGCTGTCAATATAACCACAGAACTGAACACAGAAATCATCAGAATTTTCACGCTGCCAGCCTGATACCTTTCCCATGAAGACTCTAGCTGCTTTCCAACTCCGGTCTTTCGGCACTCTGCCCCTCGGAGCCAGAAGGCCCATCACAGCTGCAGTAACGTTGGTAACTGCATTTGGAGGGTTGGGAAAGGCTTTCAGCTCAGTGAGATTGACCTGAAGGAAAGCACACACACTCTCAAGACCAGGGCACTCTGCTCTCTCAAGACCACTGCTGGGTCATTAAGCTGGTCTTCAGTGGCTAGTCTTTTCCACCCTCTCCTTTTCACACCGATCTCGGTTTGGCAGTTTTGCAGCCCTCCCAGAGATCCCACTGTGGGACACCAGTAGGTCCAGGTCTTTCTGGCACTCTTCTCATACTTTGGAAACATCACTGCCTTTTTGGGTTCCAAGTAAATTTATCTTCCTGATGTACCAGTCCTGCAGAGTCTTGCACACTGAGGCCACAGAGTTTCATAAACATATAGGTTTTAGGGTATTTATGGGTTCATCCAACCTATGTAGTATATTTGTCTTTGAATCAGGCCTTCCAGAAACAAGGAATTCCCTGGTGGTGCAGTGGTAAAGAATCTGCCTGCCAATTCAAAAGACACGGGTTTGATCCCTGGGTTGGGAAGATACCCTGGAGAAGGAAATGGCAACCCACGCCAGTATTCTTGCCTGGAGAATCCCATGGACAGGGAAGCCTGGTGGGCTATAGTCCACGGGGTCACAAAGAGTCAGACACAACTTAGCGACTAAATAAAGGCAATAACCCAGAAACAGAGACCCTTAGTTCAGAGTCTTTTAGTTTTGTTTTTCTGCTTTATATGCACAAGAAAGATCTTCTATTACACTATAATGACTCAACCAGGAAGATGCCCATAAAGGCTGAACCTTCTTTCTACATTCCTCCTTAGTCTCTGAAGGTCAAAATCTTAATTTACTCAAGAGATGGTATTAATATAATACGTTACAAGTACCAGGAAAATACTTTGGAGTAAGATTAATATCCGTAAGAAGTATATGTAGGTTCACAATATTTTTTTGTGTGTGTTTTTTTAAGGATTTTCTATGAAATTTCCTGAACAGTATTATATACTCTTACCTATAAAATCTCATCAAATGTTGAACCTGATTTTCCTCTATTACCATAAATTGCCTTTTCATTTGGGAAGTGACTGCAAAGAACAGAAAGGGTGTGAAAACAAGAGTAAAAGCAAAAACATAAAGTATGCTAAGGCTAATTGAGTGATGCTTTCTAAGGCCCACTTGACTTCACATTCCAGGATGTCTGGCTCTAGGTGAGTGATCACACCACTGTGATTATCTGGGTCATGAAGATCTTTTTTGTACATTTCTTCTGTGTATTCTTGCCACCTCTTCTTCTGCTTCTGTTAGGTCCATACCATTTTTGTCCTTTATCGAGCCCATCTCTGCATGAAATGTTTCCTTGGTATCTCTAATTTTCTTGAAGAGATCTCTAGTCTTTCCCATTCTGTTGTTTTCCTCTATTTCTTTGCATTGATCACTGAGGAAGGCTTTCTTAACTCTCCTGGCTATTCTTTGGAACTCTGCATTCAAATGGGAATATCTTTCCTTTTCTCCTTTGCTTTTTGCTTCTCTTCTTTCACAGCTATTTCTAAGGCCTCCTCAGACAGCCATTTTGCTTTTTTTCATTTCTTTTCCATGGGGATGGTCTTAATCCCTGTCTCCTGTACAATGTCATGAACCACTGTTCATAGTTCATCAGGCACTCTGTCTATCAGATCTAGTCCCTTAAATCTATTTCTCACTTCCACTGTATAATCATAAGGGATTTGATTTAGGTCATACCTGAATGGTCTAGTGGTTTTCCCTACTTTCTTCAATTTAAGTCTGAATCTGGCAATAAGGAGTTCATGATCTGAGCCACAGTCAGCTCCCGGTCTTGTTTTTGCTGACTGTATAGAGCTTCTCCATCTTTGCTGCAAAGAATATAATCAATCTGATTTCAGTGTTGACCATCTGGTGATGTCCATGTGTAGAGTCTTCTCTTGCGTTGTTGGAAGAGGGTATTTGCTATGACCATTGCGCTCTCTTGGCAAAACTGTATTAGCCTTTGCCCTGCTTCATTCTGTACTCCAAGGCCAAATTTGCCTGTTTCAACATTCAGAAAATGAAGATCATGGCATCTGGTTCCATCACTTCATGGGAAATAGATGGGGAAACAGTGGCAAACAGTGTCAGACTTTATTTTTGGGGCTCCAAAATCACTGCAGATGGTGAGCACAGCCATGAAATTAAAAGACACTTACTCCTTGGAAGGAAAGTTATGATCAACCTGGATAGCATATTAAAAAGCAGAGACATTACTTTGCCAACAAAGGTCCATCTAGTCAAGGCTATGGTTTTTCCATTAGTCGTGTATGGATATGAGAGTTGGATGGTGAAGAAAGCTGAGCGCCGAAGAATTGATGCTTTTGAACTGTGGTGTTGGAGAAGACTCTTGAGAGTCCTTTGGACTGCAAGGAGATCCAACCAATCCATCCTGAAGGAAATCAGTCCTGGGTGTTCATTGGAAGGACTGATGCTGAAGCTGAAACTCCAATACTTTGGCTACCTCACGTGACAAGTTGACTCATTGGAAAAGACCCTAATGCTGGGAAGGATTGGGGGTAGGAGGAGAAGGGGAAGACAGAGGATGAGATGGCTGAATGGCATCACCGACTTGATAGACATGGGTTTGGGTGGACTCTAGGAGTTGGTCAGGGAGGCCTGGCATGCTGCGATTCATGGGGTTGCAAAGAGTCAGATGTGACTGAGCAACTGAACTGAACTGAATGCTAACTGAGAGCTAAGTAACCAAAATCCTTTCATCATTTATAAATATATTGAGCTTTATATTTAAGTGATATTAATTTATTTTGACTTAGTAAATAATGATACATTCAGAGAAAAATCTGCCAATATAAAGCACAAAGAACAAAATAAACATTCTAGAGCTCAGAAAGAGGAAAGTATAAAATTTCATTACTCAGAGATAATTAGTTACTTTTATCTTTTTACCAATTTTTCCTATGTATAAGCATGTTCTTATTAAAAACTGTCGTAACATATGCTATTTTATACTATGGCTTTTTCATTTAATAGATCATGAACATTTTTTCACATTGCTAGCTAGGATTTAACAATTATCATTTTAATGGTAGCAGGTTATTTGAATGCAGAATAATCAATCTTCCATCACAGTATACTTATGTTCTTTTAAACTGTTCAACTTTATGGTAATGCTAAAAGGAACATCCATGAAGGTAATAACTCTGTTCACAGTCAAAATTATTTTCTTCAAAAGAATACTGAGAGAAACAAATGGAATATTTTTTTGAAGAGCAGTGGAAGTCTGGATCCTTTCCTCTTTGAAAGTGAATCCAAGACCTTCAGGCCTAGTAATGCCCTGGGAATCTCCCCAGAGGCCTAGCAGAACTGAAAGGCAAGACCAGCTGCCAGTTTTTAAAATAACATTGCCCATAATTCCATCTCTCTTTACACAGTCCTTCTGATCACCACAGTTTATTTTCTCTTATGGGAATTTGAATGCTCAATGAGATTTTGCTAATAACGTGAAGCTAGGAAAAAATGGTGTGGGTCAAAACTAGGTATCTTTGCTTCCAGGTTTTTCTACTTTACCTGAGGGTCTCTCATTAATACTACTTTTATAAGATATTCATAAAAGGAAATATCCAGAGGATATAAAGAATCCCCCACTTACTTCTTAAAGCAACAGAGGAAATAAAGAATCTTCCACTTGGTTTTTAAAGCAACACATAATATGAACCACTGGATTTGGGCCAAATCGAAGTGCTAACAATAGAGTTGCCTTTTATGAGAGCATAAACTGCATGGCATTGGAAGTATTCAAAAGGAGACTACGTGCTGAGGCCAAGGAGGAGAGACTTTGGGATGGGAAAGGCAGCTCAACTATAATGATGACCTCAATGATGTCCTTAAATAGTTGTTTCAACTGTAACATTTTATGGGACTTTCTTTTTTTTTGATTGCATGGATTTCACTATCAATTCAGTTATTCAAACTCTAATAACCTTCAAATATTCTGAAGAAACCCTGAGCCCAGGAATCATTCTTACCCTGTTGAGTGTATTGAGGGCAGCTGTCGCAGCCACCAGCGCGGGCTCAGCTTTCAGTAAGTCTGCTTCACACTCCCTCTGTTTCTGGGACACTTCAGTCTGAATGGCCGTCACCTAATCGAAGAGGAAAAGCACACAAACCTATTATCGTCTCAGATCTCTCTCTTGAAAAATGCAAGCTGCCTCAGAGACACTGTTGAATAATTTGCCTATATTTTGAACAGATGAGGATTTTGTCATAAAGACTAATTTCTCTTCAGGCATATGGTATACACAAAGCTTTGCATATGCACAAAACATACAATACAAATCTCAACACAAATGGACTCAAATATCAAAATGCTCCAAGCAGGGCTTTGATTGTTTTAAGGTGCCATTAATAATAAATGTAATTTTAAGCAATTCCTTTGTTTTTCAGTTTTCTTTTTCAGCAAGTCCTGGACAAGTGAAAATCTAAGCTGACTCAGTAAACTAGATCACAAAATACCTTTGCCAAAATTCTCTTAATTTTTGCTTATCTTTACCTTACCTACATTATCTAATTACTTATACTTACATTATCTAAAAGCCATGTTAACTATTCTTCAAGAATAAATGTAAAGAGGCTTCCCTGGTGGTCCAGTGGTTAAGAATCTGCCTGCCAGTGCAGGGCATACGGGTTCGATCCCTGATCCAGGAAAATCCCACATGCTGCAGAGCCACAACTACTGAAGTCCACAAGCCTAGAGCCTGTGCTCTGCAACAAGACAAGCCACTGCAATGAGAAGCCCACGCGCTGCAACTAGAGAATAGCCCCTGCTAGCCAAACTAGAGGAAGCCAGAGCACAGCAAGACAGACTCAACACAGCAAAAAAGCAAAAATAAATAAACTGAAAAAAAAGAATGAATGTGAAGCTGTTTTGCTCAACTGACTAAAAGATATTATTCTACTCTATGCATGTTTTTTTTTTCCCCTACTCTGTGCATGTTTATCAGTACAAAGAATTTTTATGAAGACTATATACTAGGTTGGTGCAAAAATAATTGTGGTTTTTACATTGTTGAAATTTGCCATTTGGTATAAAAAACATTCTTATGTTATATATCATTTTAATGTGAATTTTTCACTTTGCTTTTTGGCTAATGACTTATTACTTAATGTTTATATTTATTTTAGACTAGGGAAATGATGTTACACAAAAAGCAAGTTCGAGCGATTTTCTTATTTGAGTTCAAAATGAGTCGTAAAGCAGTGGAGACAACTGGCAACATCAACAATGCATTTGGCCAGGAACTGCTAACAAACATACAGTGCATTGGTTGTTTAAGAAATTTTGCAAAGGATATGAGAGCCTGGAAGATGAAGAGTGCAGTGGCTGGCCATTGGAAGTTGACAATTACCAACTGAAAGGATCACTGAAGCTTAACCTCTTACAACTATATAAGAAGTTGCTGAAGAACTCAGTGTCAACCATTTTAAGGTCACTCAGCATTTGAAGCAAATTGGAAAGGTGAAAAAGATCGATGAGTGAGTGCCTCATGAGCTGACTGAAAAAAAAATCATCATTTTTTTGAAGTGTCATCTTCTCTTATTCTACACAACAACAATGAAGCATCTGTCTATTGGATTGTGACATGCAATGAAGAGTGGATTTTATGACAACCAGTGATGACCAGTTCAATGGTTGGACTGAGAAGAAGTTCCAAAGCATTTCCCAAAGCCAAACTGGCACCAAAGAAAGGTCATGGTCACTGTTAGATTGTCTACTGCCCGTCTGATCCACTACAGCTTTCTGAATGCCGGTGAAACCATTACACTGAGAAGTATGCTCAGCAAACTGATGAGATGCACCCAAAGCTGCAATGCCTGCACCTGGCGCTGGTCAACAGGGAGGGCCCAGTTCTTCTCCACATCAACGCCCGACCACATCACACAGCCAATGTTCCAAAGTTGAATGAATTGGGCTATCAAGTTTTGCTTCATCTGCCATAGTCACCTGACCTCTCGCTAACCGACTACCACTTCTTCAAGTTATCTCAACAACTTTTTGTTAGGGAAAACTCTTCCACAACCAGCAAGAGGCCAGAAATGCTTTCCAAGAGTTTGTTGAATCCTGAAGCATGGATTTTTATGCTATAGGAATAAACAAACTTATTTCTCACTGGCAAAAATGTGACTGTAATGGTTCTTATTTTGACTAATAAAGCTGTATTTGAGCCTAGCTACAATGATTTAAAATTCACAGTCTGAAACCAAAATTACATTTGCACCAACCTAATAATATGGATATAGGGAAGCCAAGTTGGTAAACCTGAACAAGGTCAAAATGAGGACTTTAGGAGTTTTGATCCTTCTCCCTTTAGAACTCAGAACTTGAATGTCCAGGAAGAGTAAAATTCTTGTCCTCAGCAGAAATGTGGAGTTTCAAAGCTGTGGCTGCCAGGCACCAGGATCCAGTCACCATGGGGGATGGTTGCTGTGGTAATGGGGACTGTGAATCATCATGTGTGAACAAAAGTGCATTTCTTCAGATGTGTTTGGAATGAACAGGTTCATCTACACCATAAAATTAAACACTGCTCACAACAAATTACTTTGTCTACCACAGCTTTATTAGCAATAATTACCCTTCTCCTGATTAACCATTATTTTGCTGTGTACTGCACCTCTTATGAACATAATTGGTTCAGGCTAGATATGTGACCTCCGGCCAATATGTATGGTTACTGTTAACATTTGTAGAGAAACTCTGCATGCTTACTGAGAACTGCTCCCAAACCACAATCCTTCCAGGAATGACCATGAAAACTCCAAGCATACTACATTTTCAATGTGTTAGAGAATACTGCTATAGAAAAAACAGAGGCTGTATTTGAGTGAGTTATTACATCAGGTTTATTTACTTTCCTTAAGGATATAATGAATCTATACATGCTCCTTGTGACCATTTATAATAGTATCTTTTTAAACTGGATGTGGGATCATAGATTTTTTTTAATACTTAGATGAAACCCTAGGGAGTATTTCTCCTAAATGCTATTTCAACAAGACTAGCGTCATACATACTACTCTCTCTTCCTTTACTATTAATGGAGTATTATCCCTTTGGGTAATTTGATAAACAGGCAATTTAGAACATTTAACAACTAAACCCCACAAATGCAAATGAAAAAAATACTCCAGGTTGGTCAACTTACTTCTCATTCCCAATCCCTCTCATCCTAAGTGCAGCCTTACTGGAGGTGTGAAACTGCTGTGTTATCATGGTGACTTGGTAAGTCTGACTGTGCACTTTTTCTCTGCCTCCCTCCCACAAGGCTCCTGGGGACTGGTTAATGAGGCCAAACCTGGGGAAGGTGGAAGAGCTGCAGGGAAGCTTAGAGTGTGTGCTTTCTCTTTACCAACGTCTATTAAAACATATTTGAAGACAGCCCCATTCATGGGAACACCAGACTCCTCCTGCCCTCTACTTGTCAAAAGCTCCTTGCAGATGGCTCATGAAACTTAGTGGTGATCACAACGAGAGGATAAAGTCACAATAATTGCTTGTTATGGGCTGAACTGTGTCCATTCAAAATTCTCAGGTTGAAGCCTTAAACCCAGGACCTCTGAATGTCACTGTGTTACAGAGCGGGACTTTAAAAATGGTTAAATTAAACTAAGCCTGTGAGGGCGAGGCTTAATCCGATCTGACTAGTGTCTTTGTAAGAGGAGGAAATCTAGTCACACACGAGTCAGCAAGGGTATGGGAACTGAGGAAAAACACGTGAGGACAAGTGAGAAGGCGGCCATCTGCAAACCCAGTGGAGAGAGGCCTCGGGAGAAACCAAACCCGCCGACAACTTGACCTCGGACTTCCAGACTCCAGAACTCTGAGAAAATAAATCTCTACTGTTTAAGCCAGTTCTAAGCAATAGGTAGAAAAGGACATGTAAAAACAGACTGGTTCAAAATTGGGAAAGGAGTACGTCAAGGCTGTATATTGTCACCCTGCTTATTTAACTTAAATGCAGAGTACATTATGCAAAATGCTGGGCTAGATGAAGCACAAGCTGGAATCAAGATTGCTGGGAAAATATCAATAACCTCAGATATGCTGATGACACTATCCTTTTGGCAGAAAGTGAAGAGGAACTAAAGCGCCTCCTGAGAAGGTGAAAGAGGAGAGTGAAAAAGTTGGCTTAAAACTCAACACTCAGAAAACTAAGATCATGGGATCCAGTGCCATCACTTCATGGCAAATAGTGGGGAAACAATGGAAACAGTGAGAGACTTTATTTTCTTGGGCTCCAAAATCACTGTGTACAGTGACTGCAGCCATGGAATTAAAAGACACTTGTTCCTTGAAAGAAAATCTATGACAAACCTAGACGGTGTATTAAAAAGCAGAGACATTACTTTGCCAACAAAGGTCCATCTAGTCAAAGCTATGGTTTTTCCAGTGGTCATATATAGATGTGAGAGTTGGACCATAAAGAAGGCTGAGTGTTGAAGAATTGATGCTTTTGAACATTGGTGTTGGAGAAGATTCCTGAGAGCCCCTTGGACTGCAAGGAGATCAAACCAGCCAATCCTAAAGGAAATCAACCCTGAATATTCATTGGAAGGACTGATGCTGAAGTTGAAGCTTCAACACTGTGGCCACCTGATGCAAAGAGCGGAATCATTGGAAAAGACCCTGAAGCTGGGAAAGACTGAAGGCAGGAGGAGAAGGGGATGAGAGAGGACAAGATGGTTGGATGGCATCACCGACTCAACAGACATGAGTTTGAGCAAGCTCTGGGAGATGGTGATGGTGAAAGGGAAGACTGGTGTGCTGCATATCATGGGGTCACAGAGAGTCTGACACGACTGAGCAACTGAACAACACTGCATAAGCCTCCTAGTCTGTGATATTTTGTTATGGCAGCTCCAGTTAACAAATATATGACTCTCACCTTCAGACTATAAGAAATTCCTGATGGTCCTCCAAAATTCAATCCCATCCATCTTTAGAAAACAGACATTAAAAACCTGAAGACCACTCAAAATGAGGGAGAATGTTTACCTTTTCAAGAGATTATATCAGCTCTGCAATATGGAAAGTATTTTCACTCATTTACACTCAACAAAGAGGGCAATTTGAAAGGGATCAGAGGATTCTTAGAACCTGGAGCTGATACATCAAAGATGGAAGATCTAATTGTCAGAAGCTTAACGGTGCTTCTGTTACTTGAAGTCACTGTTAGCAACACCTGTGATTTGAATAATCCTTGATGATCTCACACATTTGAAGCAACAATTTCAACTGGCTTCTCTATATGGATTGTCAAGATGTACAGGAAGACAGTCTCCAAACTCCAATATTTGTTAAGCCATATTAAATGTTGCAATGCACTTTTGTTACTTTTAAAGTATTTCTTATGTATTAAACCTTGAGACTTCAATTTCATAGAATCAGAGTCCATATACACCTCTTTATAAGAACCACATAGAATCTAGTATGTTGTTGTGCATATGACCAATGTGAGCTCATGGCATATATCTGATTAATACCTTGACTCTACATAATTTAATTACAAATAGAACTTTCTTCCATAGGCAATTTAAAATAGTTTTTTCCACTATTGCATCTATTTGACTTTCATCATAGGCCTTATCATTAACATAAAATATCTTGTCTATTGACGTTGTCACTCATCTCCTATCTTTCCCATTGCAATGTAAGCAACATGTAGGCACCTTGCCTATTATATATCTTTAAGAGCCTAGAAAAGTGACAGGCAAAAAAAAAAAAATGGTGCTCAGACAATATTTGTTATTTATAATTAAATTGAGCCTCATGAATAATATGAAAATATTTTATTCTTATCTTTTGGTATGGATTAGATATTAAAATAATAGCATGTATCTTTTCCATGTCTGAAGAATTTCATGAAACAACCTGTCAGATGAGTTCTAATTTGCTAAAACATTTCCCCCTCTTTGTGAGGACAATTTTGCCTTAAAAATTCACGTACAGAAATGTAAAAAGACGTCCACAGTACTTGGTATAATTTAAGATCTGTAAAAATGGATTTTGGCTTCCCAGGTGGTACTAGTGGTAAAGAACATGCCCACCAATGCAGGAGACATAAGCGAGGCGGGTTTGATACCTGGGTCTGCAAAATCTCCTGGAGGGGGGCATGAGTTATGAAATAGTAACTATCGGAACATCACATATTTGTTAATATCTGAAAAATATCCCCTGGGTGAAATTAGCTTATGATCATCACACCATGTGTGATACCCAGTTACTTTAAATATAAAAATATACCTTTAAAGATATCCTCCACTTATCTGAAACTCAATGGAAATATTTATTACCAGAATTAGGAATTATATGCTTATTGGCTGTGCCAAACATGCCTTATCTTTAACTTCAAAAATAAGTTAAAAAAAAAATTTAATGTTTTGATTTTCTATACACTTTTCAAGTCTTTAGTGTGCAAGTTAAAGGCAGACATGCTGAATGCACATTAGAACAAAAGGAAAACAATTCATCTGTCTATGAATGAATGGTAACATCACTGGAAAAACTCAAATATTTTCTGCTATCATTAATGCAGAATAATAGCATAATGGTGACAGAATCCCTGGCTCTGAGTGTTCATAATTCATATTTTGTATTAACTAAGCCTTGATTATAGGGCTTCCCTGGTAGCTCAGCTGGTAAAGAATCCTCCTGCAAAGCAGGAGATCCTGATTTGATTCCTGGGTCAGGAAGATTTACTGGAGAAGGGATAGGCTACCCACTCCAGTTTTCTTGGGGTTCCCTGGTGGCTCAGCTGGTAAAGAATCCGCCTACAATATGGGAGACCTGGGTTCGATGCCTGGGTTGAGTAGATACCCTGGAGAAGGGAAAGGCTACCCACTCCAGTATTCCGGCCTGGAGAATTCTATAGTCTATATAGTCCATGGGGTCACAAAGAGTCAGAAAGCCTTGATTATAATCTTTTGTTTAAAATAGAACTTGTATACATATACATTCATTCAGCTTTTAAAAGATATTTACTAATCATTCTGTTTGCTTTTTATTAATTGCTAATTATTCTGTTTGTTATTTACTAAACATTTAGTAATCATTCTGTTTGTCTTGGGAAGTGAGATATACAAAAATGAAATACCTTCTACTTGCTGCTGAAGTTTCAGTAAGAAAAGATGACAAAATAAGTTATATTTATTTCAGAATTACTGGAAACCTAAGTACAAAGAAAGCCAATCTATATAATCTTAAAAGTAATTGTTTCCAACAATAAAACATAATACAGAATGCCATGGCCTCCATGGACTCAAAAGGGACAAATTTAGCTTGGGATATAATAATAACCTTAAGTTGTATTATTAAAATGCAAAATTCGAAAACCATCTTGCAGAGTGACGGAATGGGCTTTGTTAACAATTGAGTTGTTCAATTTGCCTAAAAACTGAAAACCTTTAGAAACCTCTGCGGTGACTTCATGACCTTTACTGTATTACAAATAGGCCTGATGTTCAAAATCCACATCCATTATATGCTTGAATGAGCTCAGTATTTATTGTTCTTTTGTGTCATTAAAAGAGCTAAAAGGGTGGGAAAATGCATAATGTAAAGAAAGGTCAAGTGGTAATCATGGTGTGAAATGCTGTTACATGTGTAACTATCATAATTCTTTAGATTTTACGCTCCCTGGAGGGGAAGTTGTTCAAAATTGTTCACCTACAAAGGTTTATTTTGTGCTAAATATAGCTCCGCACTCCCAAGGGAGGAATTAGCCTGACCTTTCGCTCCTCAGCATCGGCGATGGCCTTTTCCCTGCTCAGCTTCTCTGTCTGAAGCCCGATCTTCGCGATCAGAGCTTCAGCATCCTGATTTCTCAGCTGTAACTCGGCTTCTTGAGAGGCAAGTCTGGCTTTCAGCTCTCCCACCTAAAGGAAAAGTCATGACTCTGTGTCAACAGCAGCAAATATCAGATATAGCTTATTATTTTAAGTGAATTCAGGGATGCCTAACAATTTCTAACTTGCATCTGTTTCTTTCCTTTCGACTTTAATTCCATGTGCAAAAATGCAGCCCCATTTTTTTTTTTTTTTTTAGAAAACACAGGAGTCAACAGAGTAAGTTTCCCATGGTTTTGTGGGAAATGTCATTAATTTATGTCAGCACCAACTAGACATTTATCTTCTCAACTCAGTCTGTACAGTCAAGGAAGCATCCCCAGCCATCCCCACCTGAGCACATGTCACATAAGCACCCTGCTTTTCTGGTCCTGTGGGGTATAAATATTACTGTTTTTTTTAATCATAAAAAAGAATAATCACACCCATTTATTTTGATTCCATTGCTAAAAACACTTCAGGGGTTTCATCATGTGAGCAACATTCCACTGCTATATGCAAGGACCCCTACAACCTCTGCTTCAACACAGGTTATTTACACTCTGCCTTAGAGGTATGGCTGATACTGTGACCGCTACCTGTGCTATTAGAGTCTAAGCTAAGACTGATTTTTTAGCCTCTCTGTGAACTCAGGCTCATGCCACACAGTGATGTTTGCTTCTCTCTCCTTTTTAGCCAAGTGAAACTAGTCACATGGCACTAGTCACTAATCAAAAGCATCATCCAAGAGATTAAAGGAAAATCATTTCAAGCACTGACTTCGGTCTGTAAGGAAGCGGTTAGGTCTGAAATGTCCAAAGCCACTCAAACCCCGGAGGCAAGGTCTTACTGATGAAGAGAAGTGACTAGGGCTCTCCATAAGACCTATGCTAAATCTGCAGAGGGCATACAAGGCTATCAAGGGGCTCAGGGCTTTATCGCAATGCATGAAGAGCGCTAAGGGCTGGACGTACTTCAGCCGGCATGGCTGTCTGGCTCTGTGGGCTGCTGCCACATGAAGACCTCTTGCCCTGCACACAACCTGATCTTACACTATCAGGCTTTTCAGCTATTCACAGAGAACACTATGCTCCCTCTCCATAATCAATTGATTTTTAAAACTCTTAAGGTGTATAGAATTCACCTGCAATGTGGGAGACTTCGGTTCGATCTCTGAGTTGGGGAAGGGCAACCCACTCCAGTATTCTTGCCTGGAGAATTCCATGGACAAAGGATCTTGGCAGGCTACAGTCCATGGGGTTGCAAAGAGTCAGATACGACTAAGCAACTAACACTAAGGTGCTATTAAATATTCAAACCACTCTTCTGATATTAACAGCATGACATACACAAACACCTGATGGAAAGGAATCTTTAATAGTCCTTCCATTAAGACCTTGTGTATCTTCTTCTCAGACTTTCTGCCTGTTGTTTCTAGCTGAGGGGAAATAAGGGGGCTCCACACAGTCATGAACGTGGCAGTCACCATTAATCACTGGTCCCTTTCTTTCTTCCTCTCCTCAACCCCCAAATTATAAACACAAAACTGAGATGACTATTAGGAAGCCACAGATTCTTTCCTTTTCTTTTTCGCTATGACTGAGATGCTGCCATCACTGAGAAGAAGCGGGAGGCTACTACCCATGCTTTTATCTCTGTTACTAGGGAAATAAACTCTCGGAGTGCAGCACCAGCCCCACGCGGTACTGAAGTTCAGCTTAGCCAATACTGTTAGATTGCCTGGGGCAAACTCAACAGGCTCCTCAACATTCAGTGGGACATTAAATGCTCTGGGACCCAGATCTCCTTCACCTTTAGCTTCACAGGACTCCTAGCAAAGTCTTTACTACGGAAAAGGGTCTTGATTCAAGTGAGGTGGAATTAGACAGGAGGAGAGAGGGAAGACAAATAAGAGAGAAAGGCAGCATAAAAGTAAGATAAAATGTATATAAAAAGGGAGACCAAAGAAAGACATTGTTTAAAGGGACAGAAAGATGCACAAATAAAAATACGTTCTTTTGGAGTTTTCTGGCAACTATTATTTGCATTGGGTGTCCCAGGTGGCTCGGGGGTAAAGAACCTGACTACTAAGGCAGGAGGTGCATGTTCAATCCCTGGGTCAGGAAGACCCAGGGATTCTTACCTGGAGAATCCCTTGGACAAAGGAGCCTGGCAAGCTACTGTCCATGGGGTCACAAAAGTTGGACATGACTGAGTGCACACACATACATACACACTCTTTGCATCGCTCAGTCTTGGACACTGTCCTGGGAACCTCCTCACTCCGGTTTCTCTTTCCCAATCATGGTCCATTTACTCACTGTTCAGACATGATCACAATGTGCCACTGCAGAGCCATTCCTTGGTGTACGAAACAAAGGGGCACAGAAGCAATGGGTGCCTGGCCTTTAGGATGTCTGAGGGACGTGGCCCGAGAGTCCTTCGGGGAGAAAGGCGCCAACATACGCTCCCCCAGCCAGGCCCTACCTTATTGCCAGCCTAGGCACGGACTGTCCACCAGCAGCCTTGGGGAGAAAACTAGCTCAATCTCTCGAAAAGCACATGGGCATACAATCTAATGAAAATACGCTGTAAAGGTCACTGGAGTTTCTTGCCTTGAGGTGAGCACCAGTGAGAAGTGTATTTTTCCCCTTCTAGCTCTAGGGTCTGGCTGGCCCATCACCAAAGTATTTGTCTTCGCACATTCTAATTTTTAACCAGTTACAGAGAGGCTCCAGGAGTCTGTGACGGACAGGGAGGCCGGGCGTGCTGCAGTCCATGGAGTTGCAAAGAGTTGGACATGACTGAGTGACTGAACTGAACAGAGGCAGCTTGGAGTCATGGGCTTTACATAGATCTGGGCTCAAACTCCAAATTCATGGGCTCTGTGGCCTTCAATTCTTTGAGCCTCATGTGTAAATTCACAGTAGCAACACCTACTTCATACATTGGGTTTTTCACCATGGAATCAGATGATAACTAACACCCTGTGCTGAATCTCTTCGGATTGACTAAGGGAGATTAGAGGTGCTGCCCTTCAAGGAAGTGGAGGCCGTGTGGCTGGGGATGAAGACTGGATACTCTCATCTAAGAAAAATGGTGGCTAAAAGGAGCAGATCAAACAGTTAGGTCAGAGGAAACTGCTGTACTTAGGGATCCCAGTCACAGCAACCCTTATCATAGCACCAGCCAAGAAATGATGCCTTCACTCGGGGTAGAGAATCTGAGACCAACCTGACAACAAGCCCAGAGCACTGGGAGATGACAGGAAACCAGCTGTGCTCATTCCACTCACCATCTCCACGCCGCCCAGCATGGAGCCAGGCCCGCCAACCAGCCGTGACAGCGCAAGCAGCCGACACCGTTCCAGGTTTAGGAGAGCGGGAACTGTGTGTTCTCTGTATCATTATCTATAGATTTTAGGACCAGGCATCTTACACAAATGGGTTAAAAAGCTGCTTCAAAAGTAAACTATTTTTCAATGTTAAGAGCACAGGTATCACTGAGTAACAACATACCCTCGCCATACCTGAGAGGCTGTGGTTCCCAGCTTCTGGACACCATTCACCAAGTGCTCTTTCTTCTGGGACACCGCTTCTTGTTTCTTTTTCAACAGGTTCTTAAACAGTGATATTTGTTCCAGAAAACTCTTCGGGGTTGTATAGTTGTGTCTTTTCTCATTCTGGTAATACCTCGTACTCATTTCATTTACACTAGTGTGAACGTGGGCCATGAAGAGGCTAATAGAGTCTTTATCCAGGGCCTGAAAACATACATATTGCCATTCATGTGAAATTCTCTCAAGTGAAAACAAAAATGCCAACTTTAAAAAAAGAAGAAAAATCAGCAACATTATACAGTATTTATTTTCTAAAAGCCAGCATCACTTACAGTAGATCTAGGAAAACCTAAAGTCTTTCAGAGACATCCACAGGTTTAGAGAGATGACAAGGAAGTATTCAGTTTAGTCACCTCTTCTTGCCAAGCAGGGCAAAGGATTCACCTGTGGTCCACATACCAAACCCAAAAGCCAAGATGCAACACAAGCGCTGCTTTTTACAACTTGATTTTTATCAAGTGTGTGAAAGAGAAAATGGAGAAACTGAGACATGGGAAGTATTTTTGGTGTCACTTTCAAGCTAAGCTTTAGCCAAAGAAAACCAACAACTCTGCAGTCACTGGGAAAAAACAAAACAAAACACACAGCTTAAGCTGAAAAATACACAGTTTTACAAGAATTTATGTTGAAATAAAACCTAGAGGGTAAAGTATAAAAGTCACTGTTTGTGGGAGAACAATACACCCATTCTCATTTGGAAAAAAACAAACGAAAAAGAAGCAACTCTCCTTTGAAGAGTCGCTGGAGAACTCCCCACTAGACATTCTTTCCGTTTTGTCCTCTACGACTTCTGAAGTAGTTAACTTTTTAATTTGCGGAGTCACATCTCCCTCATTTTAATGATTATTTATTGCATTCTGTACAAGATGAACCAGGTTCAATTAATCAAGGGAAGCCTAAAAATCAATTAATATGAATTAAATGAGCTACACGAACTCTTAGGAAAGTCACACATAATTTACCAAAGTGTTGTCAATAACACTCAGACATCTTTGGGGAAATTGCGCGCAAGTGGCTGGTGGTGCAGTTAAACGTTTCAAAGCTGTGCCATTAATATCACAGCCAGGGGTGCGAGGAGAGACAGGCCGATTCTTGCTGGGGAAGAACGCCTCCAGAGCAAAGTCCAAACACTCCACTTTCCAACCTCACGGAAAATGCCTGAGTGGGTTTAAAATATGTACAGATTGTTCTGCATATGAAAAATCCACTGTGCTAGTTACTAAAATGTTTTTAAAGCAAAAGTTAAATATAGAATGATACAAAATTTGAATATTCTTTGTTTCCACTCGATGTAAGACATACGTGTATCACCAAATAGTGAATTCAGAATGTAAATTTCTAAGGAAGTAATGCCATATAACTTACATCCCTGCGGGGATTTCATTTTTTAAAGAATCTGACTGCAATATAAATATGGGCAGAAATTCACTCGTGTCCTGTCTTGTTTTAACAAAACTCAAAGCCAGCATGTATCTTTCTAAAATAGATAAATATGTCCCCAGCCAAGTGTAACCTCCTTGCAGCAAAGGAAAAAAAAAAAAAAAATCTGGCCTCTACTCAACCATGATCCTTATGGGGAGGCTCCTCGGCTGCTCATGAACAGCTCTCTTTAACAGCAGTTTCATTTGTAAATCCGAGATGGAAGAAGTGGTTTCCGGTAGAGCTGGAAGAGGCCGAGGAAACTTGTCTCAATGGGGCAAAATAACTATTGTTACCGGGCTTAACAAAATGGCACAGCCTGGGAGACTTGCAGAGCCAGGGAGCAGCTGGGTGTAATTCACACTGTTTCTCAGAAAACTCTAATCGCTCCAGAACAGGCCTCTTTGATAACTGGTCTTCCCTGCATTCTCAATTTGTCACTTTCTCTTATGATAAGGTCAGTAGTGACAGCACTTCCTGACATCAACAGCTGTGGCTTTTAAAAGGGTCATTGTAGAACTACTAATTGCAGTAATTTCATTAGCATAAATTATTTATTCTGCCATTCATTTATCTCTAATTTTCTTTTGGGGGGCAGGGGGAGCTGGGAGGAGAGGGCTTCTGGTGCAGCGACAGCAATGGTGATGCTATGCTGTATTTTTCACTTTTAGAGGATGGAGTGAAGAACATCATTCCTGCTACACATGGCCTCTTAATGAAAACTGGTTGATCTCATTTGCAGTCATCTCGCAGCCAATCACGGTGAAGGCAAAAATAAAAAGAAGCAAAGTGCCAGTATCCAATGATTATAAATGCAAGGTTTCCCCACTAAGATGCCTTGGAAAACAATGCTGGATCCAATGCAGAGTCAAATGCAAAGAGGAAACTGTTTTTTCCTCACATTAATAAAAAGCGTTTAATTTCTACCCTCTTGGTTGGCTCTCTGTAAACACAGAATCACAGATCTCTGCTACTTGGTGTCCTGGTTCTCAGGCAGTCAGAATCACTGCTATACCAAGTACCCCAGCCACCTGATTCTCAGAGAAAATGTCCAGCGCATCACTGCTGTTGAAAATGACTGCAAAATTGGAATGAAATCCAATGCCTGGAAGCCAGAATGAAATCAAACCCTGTAAGTGCTGCATAAGATTTTACACATTCCCAAGACCAGCAAAGACTATTTACATTCAGCCCTAAAATTCAGTTTCAGAAGTGTTGAATTCAAGGAAGGGAGCTAGGAGGGGCCAACAAGGGCAGATGAAAGAAAAAAACTTTTCAAGTTTAACTTGGGATAATTTTGTAACATATAATGTCATATATCTATCATCCCTCTTGATACTTTCCTCAGAAAATATTTCTATATTAATTTTTCACAGCTTTACTGAAGTATAATTAATATATAAAATCTGGGCATATTTATTTTTAATAATTGTGAAATTATTGATTTTCAGTAATTCCAAAGCTATTTTTTGTGCTTTTTAGTTCTTTTGGGAGCTGGTCAATCTATTAGAAACTCTGGTTGTAAGGTTGGTTTATTAAATAACACAAACTGAATAATGCACAAAGTGGCACAAAAATATTTGAGGTCCTCTGCTGATGATCTCACAGTGCTAATGGACTCTCAGGAAAACACTGTGGAGGCAGCGAGGGACGTTGGGTGAGAGTTTCACTTCTGTCAAATTGGGCAAGCTATTCCTCCTGCCGCAAAATCAAAAGCTAGACATTCCTCACTCCTTTTGACTCTGCTTCTTCTCTTCCTTTCAAGTCCTCCTTTGGAAGAGGCAAACATTTGTGCAATAGTCCATTCTACTGTTAGCGTGTTTGTGTTTTCATTTTTGTCTTTTAAGTTTAGAGACCAAGCCTGGGTTAAAGGCAAGTTGAAGCCCAGCACAAGCTAGTAATCTTCCAGATGAGTTTTTGATCCTTGAAGGAGGTAGCCTTCCAAGATTCACTGAGAGAGTATTAAAACAAAGAAGCAATTGAGGTCTGAGGGTGTGAGAAGGTAAGATGGAAGCCAAGCCGGCTAAACATCTCTCAGAGAAAGAAGACAAGGGAGGAGATGGTTCTGGCGAGACCAGTGAAGAGGAAAGTCACAAAACTATAGCCAGGAGGAACTGACGCTCCTGTGTGATTCAGCTAAACTTTCAACTTAATAGCAAGTCCAAGTTCCTGCGCAGCTGTGAAAATTGGACCCTCCTTTCCAGGAAGAGGGGATTCCTAAGTTCTCATACGTAAGTTTGCAAAAACCCTGGAAAGCAGCATCTATTGCTTTTTGCAATTCTACTGTAAACTTAATTAACATGCACAGAGGAAGAAATGTATGGTGTGCAGTATATTAGTGCACATGTGCAAAGGAGAAAGGGAGCTGAAGAATGGGGAGTATATTAACCACCACTGGGCCTTTTCTCATCTGTTTGAAGACAGGCTTAAGCTGGTTGGTATGAGATTTAGGCAGATTGAGTAAGAATTTGGTTACATTTGCTTTTGTCTTGATCTTTTAAAATCATACCACTATTCTTCAGAAAAAGGATATTTTTCACAAATTCACAGAATTTCTCTTGCACAGGGTTGTCTTTCTACTTTTGAAATTCATACTTAATAATCCTCACTTTATTTTAAAGAAAGAACTGTGCTAAAAATTGTGAACAGAAATGCTGCTAATGTACCTATCACTAGCAAAATAGTATTTACTAGGCTTTATGCTTGGTCTAACATTTTAAAAGGAAGCTAGAAACCAGTCACAAAGTCAGTCTTTGAAATATAGCAGTATAGTAACTTTGTTGGCATTCTGAGTGCAGCACTTTAACAGCATCATCTTTTAGGATTTGAAATAGTCCAGCTGGAATTCCATAGCTCCACTAGCTTTGTTTGTACTGATTCTTCCTAAGGCCCATTTGACTTCACACTCCAGGATGTCTGGCTCTAGGTGAATGATCACACCATCGTGATTATCCGGGTCATTAAGATCTTTTTTGTCTAGCTCTGTGTGTTCTTGCCACCTCTTCTTAATATCTTATCCTTCTGTTAGGTCCATACAGTTTCTGTCCTTTATTGTGCCTATCTTTGCATGAAATGTTCCCTTGGTATCTCTAATTTTCTTAAAGAGATCTCTAGTCTTTCCCATTCTACTGTTTTCTTCTATTTCTCTGCAATGTTCACTCAGGAGTGCTTTCTTATCTCTCCTTGCTATTCTTTGGAACTCTGCGTTCACATGGGTATATCTTTCCTTTCTCCTTTGCCTTTCAGGTCTTTCTCTCAGCTATTTGTAAGCCTACTCAGACAGCCTTTTGCCTTTTTCCATTTCTTTCTCTTGGAGATGGTCTTGATCACTGCCTCCTGTACAATGTTATGAAACTATGTCCACAGTTCTTCAGGCACTCTATCAGATCTAATCCCTTTGAATCTGTTTGTTACTTACACTGTACAATTGTAAGGGATTTGATTTAGTTCATACCTGAATGGCCTAGTGGTTGCCCCTACTTTCTTCAATTTAAGTCTGAATTTGGCAATAAGGAGTCATGATCTGAGCCACAGTCAGCTCCTGGTCTTGTTTTTGCTGACTGTATAGAACTTCTCCATCTTCACGTACAAAGAATATAATCAATCTGATCTCGCTATTGACCATCTGGTGATGTTCAAGTGTAGAGGTGTCGCTTGTGTTGTTGGAAGAGGGTGTTTGCTATGACCAGTGTGTTCTCTTGGCAAAACTCTGTTAGCCTTTTCCC